CTTAAAGTTGCCAAGGTTGGAGACCCCTGATTTAAGATTTGTGGACTTCAACTCCCAGAATTCCCCACTCAGTTTTTTTTCTCACTTTGCTGAAGACAAGATATATTACGCTTACTGCATACCCACCATCTATTAAGAAAGTCACCCTCCATCACTGACTGAGGAATTCTGGGTGTTGAAGTCCACAAGTCTTAAAGTTGCCAAGGTTGGAGACCCCTGATTTAAGATTTGTGGACTTCAACTCCCAGAATTCCCTAGCCTGGTCTTTTTTTAATCCCCTTCTCATTTTGCTGAAGTCAAAGATATATTACGCTTACTGCGTACCCACCATCTATGAAGAAAGTTACCCTCCATCACTGACTGAGGAATTCTGGGAGTCGAAGTCCACAAGTCTTAAAGTTGCCAAGGTTGGAGACCCCTGATTTAAGATTTGTGGACTTCGACTCCCAGAATTCCCTAGCCTGGTCTTTTTTTTTCCTCTTCTCATTTTGCTGAAATCAAGATATATTACGCTTACTGCGTACCCACCATCTATGAAGAAAGTTACCCTCCATCACTGACTGAGGAATTCTGGGAGTCGAAGTCCACAAGTCTTAAAGTTGCCAAGGTTGGAGACCCCTGATTTAAGATTTGTGGACTTCAACTCCCAGAATTCCCTAGCCTGTTCTTTTTTTTTTTTCCTCTTCTCATTTTGCTGAAATCAAGATATATTACGCTTACTGCGTACCCACCATCTATTAAGAAAGTTACCCTCCATCACTGACTGAGGAATTCTGGGAGTCGAAGTCCACAAGTCTTAAAGTTAGCGATCCTTAACTGTAGTAGCGCCAACTGACTCTCTTATCTTACACGTTAGAGACATAGGCCCGGTTTGCCTGGATATTAAGCCCCCGTTTACCCATGGCTTATGGAACAAGCCAGCTTCAACGGCGTAGGTAGAATCATACAAATACTTGCATCCCTGTCAATCAACCATCTCCATTCAAATCGTCTCAGCAGAAAGAAGCTAGCTAGTTGCATCACATTAAGCCACAGTTTGATTCATTGAGGTTCACACCATATAAACCACAATGGGCTGGATTCCCAAACCCTGTTAAATCCCAAACCACAGATAATAAAGGTCTGTTTGTGTTACCGCAATATTTTTAAGTTTTACCAGCTGGAAGGATCCTTGCTTCCCCAGGTGAGTTTTATTTTAAAAAAATAAGACTCTCCTTAAAGGCGCAGGTGGTCCTTGACTTACAATGCTTTGTTTAGCGACCATTTGAAGTTAAGATGAAACAAAGCGACTTATGTCTGATCCTCGCACTTACAGCTGCTGCAATTTCCCCACAATTTACACGGTCAAAATGTGGACACAACCAAATCAAGGTGGGAATATTTTGACTTTTTCCCCACCTCACAGCCTCTTTCCATGTTGGGACTAACATTGTACAGGCAGTCCTCAATTTACAACGGTTCATTTAGTGACCGTTCCAAGTCGCGACGGCCCTGAAAAAAAGGGACTTAGGACCGTGTTTCGCCCTTATGGCCGTTGCAACTCGGGATCAAAATTTGAGTGCTTTGCAAACCGTTTCCTGTTTATGACGGTTGCAGACTCCCGGGGTCACACGCGATCCCCTTTTGCGACCTTCTGACAAGNAATTTCCTGACAGTGAGAACAATTAATCAGTGGAACAGAAGTTGCCTCCAGATGTTGTGAATTCTCCAACACTGGAGGTTATTAAGAAGAGACTGGATGGTCATTTGTCTCAAATGATATTGGCAGGGGGTTGGACTAGAAGACCTCCAAGGTCCCTTCCAGCTCTATTTTGATTGAAACTGGGTGGGATTTTGTACTAAATTGAGCTGGTCTTTCACCCCCTCCCCCAAATGTCTCTCTCCGGAGGTTTGGGAGAGTCTCTCAACCCCCCCTCCATGACTCACCCCGGATGACGGGATCCGTCCGCCGGGCTCCCGGGACCTCGCCGGGCGCTGGTGTCCAATCGGTGTCATCCCGGTGGCCCGCACAGCAACGGCAAAATTTGTGGAACCAGTATTTCTTCCTTCTGGGCGCCGGCTCTGGAGCACTCGGCTGGCGCACCCGGTAGCTGACGTTGGCCCAGCGGCCTGCATCTCCGCGCGGATCCGATACAGGCATGGCGTCTGCGGAGGAGAAAGGAGAGGGGGGGGGCGTGTTTAGCAGCAGAGTCTCCGAGCCGAGCTTAGAAAACAGAACCCAACTTTTTAAACTCCGGTTCATCGTTTCCCTGTTTGCACCCGAGAGGAAGAGGGAGAGGCGATGAGAAAGACGGGGTGGAAGATTCCGGAATGGCATCGGAGCCCCCAAACATAGGCTGGCAGTGCATACCCCGGTACATAACGATACAACTGCAGGAAAACTCACAACTTGTCTACATCCTTCCCGGATAATGAAATATTCCTTTAAAATCACTGGAAGACGAGTGGATTTCAACTCGGGGCGGAGATTCAGCCGGTTCAAACCGGTTCGGGCGAACTGGTTCGCCGAACCGGTAGTTGGAAGGACTGGCTGGCCCCGCCCACCCCTCCCCACCCTTCCCAGGAGTCTCCACGCGGCCCATTCATCGTGCCAGGTAAATCCAGGTAAATGCAGGGCCCCCACGGAGGCTCTAGGAGAGCAAAAATCCCTTTCCGGCCTCCGGACTAACTGAGGAATTCTGGGAGTCGAAGTCCACAAGTCTTAAAGTTGCCAAGGTTGGAGACCCGTGATTTAAGATTTGTGGACTTCAACTCCCAGAATTCCCTAGCCTGNGACACACACACAGACACACACACAGACACACACACAGACACACACACAGACACACACACATTTATTTATAGTTCAACCACAATAATACATGGACAAACAATAGATACAAAGTCAAAGTAAACCGCTCCAAACTCAACTGCAGAAAATATGACTTGAGCAACAGAGTGGTCAATGGCTGGAACACTCTACATGATTCCTTTGTTAGTTCCTCAGACCCCCACATCTTTACCCGTGAACCTTACCCCATTCCTAAGAGGTCCCTAAGGGGGCGTGCATAAGCGTACCAACGTGCCTACTGTCCCTGTCTTACTGTCCCCATTGATACGTACTCATTTTATGTGTTATACTTATTTATATCCATCTATTTGTACCACTCTCATGTGAAAATGTCCATGTCTATACTAATACCTGTTAACTTGTGCATGTTGACAAATAAATAAAATAAATAAATAAGTCTCCTGCGAATCAGGAACGAGGAGTTACAGAAGGGAGCACTTCAGATGATGCTTACACAACTCAGATCTATAGATGGGAGCAAAATTTCACACAGCTCCTTTCCTCCATAGAAATGTTTAAGATAAATAATCAACAGGAATGGAAGGGGAACAAAGATGCAAATGTTGATATTGTGCTGACTCCTCAGAAGTTGAGAAAAGGCATTGATTTAACAAAGCTTGGAAAATAATTGGGCAGACTTATATTTAATATATGAAAACACTGGTTCATAAAGTTAATACAGAGCATTATTACCTCAGGTAATTCCTTATATTTCTCTACAGAACCAACCTTACATCCAAATTAGAATTCTACTCTCACGCGCGACTAAAAGCAGTGTGTTCAACTTAATTGAATTAATGGTTGGCAAAACCTCTAATAATAAACAATACATTAATACAACAATGTTCATACATTGATAATTTCCAGTCTGAAATTAGTAGTTGTTTTAGGAGTGCAAATCCAGTGTATGAGTTTCAGCGTTCGTTGTTATGTAATGGACTTCTTCCTTTGAAAATTTATTTCGTATATCTAGGATGGTGCATCCCAAGATTGACAACTTTAAACTATATGGTTTTCAACTCCCAGAATTCCCCAGCCATCATGTCCCTTTCTAAGAGTTGAACTCTATATAGTTTAAAATTGCCACTCTTAAAAAATACCGATTCAAGGGTTAGAAGCTGAGTTATGTTTCTAGATATAAAAAGAGTTAGGAGTTTATAAATCTTTTATAACAACAGCTGCCAGCCATTTTGTAACTCTGTCATTATTTGAATTTTTACAGCCTTTTGATTTGCCTTTGGAATCTGATATAGTATTACTATTAAATTAGAATGCACTTAAACAATTTCTTGTTTGGCTGGTATTCTAGTGCCCAAAGTTTTTGTCTTAAGATAATAGTTTTTAAAATGCTTCATACCGTGAGTGTGACTTATTTGGAAGGGCTGAAAAGATTAGCCCATGTGTTTTACCCATTTTGGCAATAATATGTTCTTCACAAATCTGTTCTGCAGTAAGCAGGTGGTCTTACATATAAAGTCAATTTTTAAAAGAAGAGCAAGCTGTTAGGCATAGTTTTCATGGAAGTCATTTAATGTGTTTATTATAATAGATTGAAATCTGTTTACTTTAGCGAATTCTCTTACCTGCTACAGGGAGAGGGAGATTGCCATTGTTTTGCTAAGGAGAGATGACCTGATATATGCTAATAGAAGCTCACAAGCTACTGAAATACTCTCAGGGTTGAATTAGAATAAGCCTGGGCCACCTTTTATAGGTCATCCTTGACTTACAACCAGGGGTGGGCTTCAAAATTTTTAGCAAGGGGTTCTCTGCCCAGTTGCTGGTTGGATGTGGCCATGGTGGGCATGGCCTAGTCAGGCTCCTGCACCACAGCAGATGTGTCTGTGTTTTTGCCCTCCCAGGGCTCCGGAGGCTTTCTTCAAACCTCCAGGAGGGTGAAAACTGCCTCCCCAGGCTCTGAAGGCCAGAAATGGGCCTGTTTCCAGACTTCCAGAACTTCCGGTAGGCCTGTTTTTCGCCCTCCCAAGCCTCTGTGCGCGCCCTGCACTTATCTGCATCTAAAACAGGCTGTATGGGGACTCCTGGGTGGGGCTTGGTGGGCAGGGCCAGCCAGGAGTGGGATTTGGGGATTCTCCAAACTGCACAGAATCTTAGCTACAGGTTCTCCCGAACTCCTGTGAACCCCCAGCAGCCCACCCCTGCTTACAGCAATAGTGAGGCCTGTTCACTATGATTGTAAGTTGTGACAGTTGAAAAGTAGAAGTAAATGCTGGTTTTCTAATTCTAAATTAGAATTAGTTGTGTCCCCCCACCAAACTACTTTTGAATAGTATAAAAACCAATAATAAAGTTGCTGTGATTGGCAGGTGGGACCATGCAAAGCGAGAATGAGTTTGGATAGTGGAGCCCTTGATGCTCTCTAATTGTTTGCTTTGTTTAGGATTGGTCTAGGATGCTCACAGGTGCTCTGTTGGGAAACTAAGCATCTCAGACCAAGCCACATTAAAAAAACAGCAGAGAATTCCTAGAAACTTAGTGTTCAGCAAATCAGCCATTAATTGACACATACAAATAAACCATATTTATACACAATTCAAAAGGCTCTCTCTCTCTCTCTTTCTCTCTCTCTCTCTCTCTCTCTCTCTTTCTTTCTTTCTCTCTCTCTCTTTCTCTTTCTCATTGAGGCAATCAGTTGCCCAATAAGTACAATAACTCATTGCCTATTCTTTTTCTTCTGTTTGGCTATGCAGATTCATCAGGTAACAATCTACTTGCAGTGTTTATCACTAAATGGGTAAAATGGGTCTTTACTGAGATACAGAGAGTCCTCGACTTACAACAGTTTTTTTAGTGACTGTTCAAAGTTACAAGGGCACTGAAAAAAGTGACTTATGCCCATTTTTCACAATGGATGACATGCTGTGTCAGAAAACAGTTATCTATTTTTAAATTTTTTAAAACAACTTTAAAAAATCTACCACACAACCAATAAGATACATTTCGTTTTTTCAAGAATAGGAAAAGAGGGAAGCTTTCACATAAGCTGATTTTTATTAGTCTTAAAAAAGATTCTTACATACTATTAGATGGGATTTTTTGAGCTTGGGGAGATCAGTCCTGAAGTAATGGTCACAGAAGGCAAAACCACTACAAAATTGTGATTATGTTCTTTGGTATTGATCAGTGGTGGGATTCAATTTTTTTTACTACTGGATCTGTGGGCGTGGCTTTGTGGGCATGGTGTGGCTTTGTGGGCATGGCAGGGGAAGGATACTGCAACATCCCCATTCCCTCCCCACCCCACTAACCTGCTTTCAGCTCTATTCTCCTGTGTAAGGCAGCAAAAGAAGATCAGTTGGGAGGCTGGGAGACAGCGAAGTGGGGCCAATCTATTTGCTGGTTCTTCAAACTACTCAAAATTTCCGCTACCATTTCTCCAGAACCTGTCAGAACTGGCTGAATACCACCTCTGATTGATGTTCCCTAGACTAAAATTATGTATGCCAAACCTGGCTACTGTTAACTAGAGAAATCCTTAAGCTGATTTGTATTGTGCTTTGGTTGCCCTGATGAAAAAAGAATTTTGCAGTACTTTTCAGATTTTTTTTTTCATTTTATCTGTTTCCATCTTTCTTATACTGCCTGAAATTATAGCACCCACACTTCAAAACTGTGAACTAAAAGTACCAGTCATTTCAGTTCAGAAACAGAAGCAGATTACATAAACTAAACATGCACAATCTGTATATTTTAAATTGGAATTTCAGAGAAAGGTTTCTAATGGATTTTTAAGTGGTGAGTAAGGATCTGACTTTTCACGCTGGATTGACAGAAATATCTCTGAACTCTTATTATTCTCTCTTGTGTAATGCACATTTCTCATTTTGTGATTTCAGAATATATTTGGGGAGAGGGAGGTTGTATTAGGCTCAGTATCCTTTTGATCTAGATGGTTCTTTCTAGTTTTGACTTGCTACCTGAGAACTATTTTACTCTATATTTTCTCCATTGGAATTATGTTAACATAGATTCTATTTCGGTATCTGTGGTTCTTTCATATTGCTTTTTCTCACAAAAAAACCTATTCCATACAAAACAAAAAGGATTAGAAACCAGAATAATTAATGTGTCATCTGCCATTTTATTATTATTTTACATTCTTTCCATTTAAAATGAATGCAGTGCTCGCTTTCAATCCCATAAACATTGGAATATGTTAACACTGCGCATAAACACTGCATCAGTGTTTTGCTTCAAAGAATGCTCAATTTTTCATTTTTTTAAAAAGGCAAGAATAAATGATAAAGTCCAAGGTTGCTTCATTTAAAAGTAATCAGTTTAAAAATAAG